CTTATTCTTAGAAGTTGATAAAATAAATTGAAATTTTATCTAAAAGAATGAGCTGGTAACTTAGCAAAGAAAGTTTTGGAAACTGGTATTGTGAAGGCGGCTTGTCCTACCAGTTGGTAGCATTTAATAACACAAAGTATTTGTAGTAGTGAATTATGAATAAAAAGATAAAGGACACATAAAAAACAGGCCCCATATTACAGAAATAAAAAGGACAATTCATCACAAAGACATAATTGCTTATGTGAATAGTAACAAAACCTCAAAATGTATGAAACAAAAATCGACAGAATTGAAGGGAGAAACAGAAAATTTCATAAGCATAAAATTTAATATCTCCATCAGTTGTTCATAAACAACTAGTAGTTGATAGTAAAAACAAAATACGAATAACATTATCAATCATCTTAAATAACTGACATTTGTATTTGTATAATGTATTCAGTGACCTCAAAAGAATTAAATGAGAAATCAATACAATAAGCTATTTAGGAAAGCTCTAAGTATTTGGAAATTTTTGAAAAACGTTTCTCTGTAATTCATATTGTCAAACACAAAGTCACAAGGAGCTCAGAAAATAATTACTGAATGGCAGCAAATACAGAGCCACTACTTCTACTCTCAGAAGAGCCAAATGTGTGTATCTTGCACTTTGTAGTAAAAGTTAAATGTCAATCTATATTTGCAAAGAAAATCATTGGCAGTTTTGTGTTGATGATCCTGAACACAATTCAACATTTCCAGCAGAAAAAAAAATTGCTCACATTTGACAATGTCACACTGGGACTATCAGTTAAAGTTAAAACAAAACCAAACCCAGCAAAACATACACACAGCTGTTTCACACTGGTTAAAAAAAAGGATTAAGTATCTTCTGACCATAAAATCTATTTAAACTGGAAATAGGGCCATGATTTAACCTATTTATCAAAAGTTTGCTCTGATTTAAGAAGAGCCTATGCGATCAAGAAATGGAGTGAATGTGTTAAAAATATTGTACATCATAAAATAGGTTGGATGTATGAGTAGACATCAAGTAATTATAGTTGGTTGTTAAAATATGAGT